GTATAGCAACTAGTGTAGAACTTATATAGTAATGTGTAAGCAGACTACTTAAATTAGGCACCAAAAGTGCACGTGTGACTAGTTGTAATCTCCAATGTAAGGTAAGCCCTTGGTGGCATGCTGTGTCCTAATATACTTGAATAAAAACATCACAACTCCCAAGATAGGGATTTTAACTATAAAAAAAAAAAAAAAAAAACTTAATTCGAACAAAATTATTTAAAAAATGTCTTTATTCAAAAAAATCATAAACTTTTTTAAATGTAGACAAAAAAAAATAAATATATTCGATAAAAGTATTTATAAATAGAATTATTCAACTTCATCAGCAATTGATAAAGAAGTTTTTGAAGCTTTCTTACCAACTACTGAAGAAGATGAGCAATTCGAAATAGAAATTGAATATGAAATTTTAAAACTAAACAAAAATGATTATGAAGTATTTACAAATTATAAATTATTTAAAGAATATTTATTTCAAAATAATATAATCAAATCTTTATACATTAATTATGATATGAAAAAAAAAACTAATTAATCATATTTTATGTGCTAAGTTTCATATAAGAGCATATTTTCATAATTAGGAAAAAGTTTATATTATTATGTAATAAATGATAGTATAGATCTCTTGGAATTACGAATAAAAGAGTATAGTAAATTAATTAAATTTTGTTTTAAAGTTATAAACAAAGAATATAAAAAATATAATATAATGTACTTGTAAACATAGAGTGATCTAGAAAAATATGCTAAAAACTATCTTGTATATTAAAAATATTGTATATAATAAATAATTGTAAATAAATTAAAAAGATTAAATTTGTTTTGTTTAGAGCTTAGTTTCATGTTATCAGCTTTTCACAAATAAATTAAAGCTTTAAGAGCTTTTAATTCTAATTGTCAAAAAAACCCAATTTAAAAAAAAAACATCTTATTTTTTTAAGATGCATTAATAAATTATCTATAGCAGTTTTGGTAAACAGAACTGTTCATCAAAACATACAATATGCAACATATAAATTATAACAATAACTGACTATTACCATGTTTGTAAAGTTCGATATACATGATAAATAAAAATTTCATTATGATCTACAATGTTTATAAAATTCAATATACATGGATGAATAAAAATTTTACTATGTTCTATATTTGTAAAGTTTGATATATATAGGACCAAGTTATTTTGGCCCAATCTGTATATTAAAATATTGGAGAAATACCAATATTACATATTTGCTAAGAATAGCATTAATTATATGATTGCTAAGATAGCAATCATGAAATAAATCTTTCTGAAAAATTTTCATAAATAAAGTTCCAATATTGTAAAGAAATTATTGAAACTATTACAAAAATTACTATCAAATAGATAGTAATTTCCCAAACCCAGAAAAATACTCATGAATATACAATTTTAATAATATATTAGTAAATATAATCTTTATATTCACTATAGAAGAGGTTTGTTAAAAACAAACCAAAGATAACTAAAATTACAATCAAAGTATAAAAGACTTTAGAAATCATTTTTATAAATCTGTATTGTTTATTAAAAGTTTTAATTGAAGGTAATATTGCAAGTTGTATAAAACAAATAAATCATAAAGAACAGAAGAAAGTTTTGTTACAATTTTTATAAATGTTCACTGCAAATATAAATCATTGTCAAGATACAACTTGGGAATAATAAATACAATGAATCGATTGTATTTATGATGCAACAAAATTAAGGATCTTATCTAGAACCAATTATATTTTTGATTGATAGAGACAGAATTAAGGTTTAGTATAAAAATTCCTTATATAGTAATTACCAATAAATTGAATAAATGCATAATTACTGATTTGAATTCATTCAAATACAGATAAGCTGTAGATTAGATAATCTGAATATAGTAATTAGCTTTAGTAATCAATTATCTGATTCAGATTCATTTATATGCAATAAACTGCATATGAATGAATCTGTATCAGGTAATTAATTTTACTGATAAAAGTATAAAAACACTAAATTTACTTTACTTTGTATAAATAAATTCACATAAAAAAAATAATAAAGTAAAAATAATGGTTCTTTTAGAAATTTCTTAATAAATTGAATATTTTTTTAATGAGTAAATACTAATTTTCTAAAATAAACTAGCTTATATTTATAATTAATATTTTTTTTGTAAAAATAATGATTAGTAGGTCGCAATATATATATATTGCGACCTACTTACGTTAGATTGTTACCTACTTATGAGAGTGACGACAAATTTGAGTTCACGTCATCATTCAAGTGATGACAAATTTGAGTTTATGTCGTCATTCAAGTGACGACAAATTTGAGTTCATGTTGTCATTCAAGTGACGAGCATTTTGCATTTGCCTCATCAAAGATAAGATGTTTATAGTCTGCTCATTAGGTGACGT